GCCATGGTATTAAACATAACATCCCGCCATGGTATTAAACATAACATCCCGCCATGGTATTAAACAAAAATCTTGCAAGAGTAAGGGGTCGAAAATGTTTTATACGTTTTTTAAGGAACGAAACCCAGTTATTAAACCATTTTCTTGATTAATTAATATTGCCTTTTTGACAAAAATAAAATTCTAGATAATCATTTTATATTTCATCATGCAATTAAACATTTAACTACGGTTACAAAAACATTAGCAATATTTTTTCAAATATTCGTAAAAGGTGCATTTAAATTTAGCTTTTTTTATTAAAGGGAACTCTATTCTTTAAATCCCAATATATCCTTGCAACCTAATGTTGTAGACATTTCATATTTTAAACCATGTTTTAAATATAAAAGGAAAACACCATCCGGGTGCAAATATTTAGGGATTTAATCATTATATATTGAAGCTGTTAACTGCAGCCCTTCAGTCTATTAATGAATGACATTGACAAACAACTAAATCAAAAATTATTTTAAAGAAATTGTTAACATAATTTTATGTGAGATTCCATTTATTGAATAACATGTCTGTTTTACACCGGTGCCCATAGAAGTTTTGCCAAATCAAGAATGAATGAGCTATATTCACGTTTAACCTTTTGAAATTTAACCATTTACAGTTGGGCTTTCTCTTTAAAAGTGATTTACGGATTTCTGGTTTAAAACGCTTTTTAATCCACTTGATAAAAACATTATTATTACAAATATGTCGGTTTCAAAATAGGTAAAAATTACAATAATAATGTAATATTGGTCTAGTTGTATCTATTTTAAATGTATATTAAGTTGTAATCTCTGTTTGTTTGTTTGTCCCATCATAACTCAGGAACCCCTGGACTGATTTACCTAACATTTTGATTGGGGAACTCCGGAGACCCACGGGAATGTTTTTAGCTTGGTTTTAAGATTCCAAACTGAGTGGGTCCACTTTGAACAGGAAAATAGCTAAAATCGTACAAGGGGCTGTCAAACCAACTATGACTCCCCTGGGCCAAGCTGGGTTCCCAAGCTAGTATAGCTATAAATCAATGGAATAAAAAAGCAAGAGGCATTAAAACTATTACGATAAGAAAGTGTGTCTGATTGTGCAAGCTGGAACCATTGCAGAGGAACTTGGAACAGTAACAGATACGTTCCTGAAATTTATCAAAATCAATCTGAGGAACAAAACATCCATGCCTAAAGATCAAAAATGCTTACATCTTTTCAACCTGATGTCGCAGACCTTTGATATTTCAAACTAAAAGTATTCTTTTGGATCCGTTAAACAAACATCAAAGGACTATACTATCATATTGCAAAGGATTGGAAGATTTGAGTTTATTCTCGAAGTTGGATCTAAAAATATTAACTTGTTTCTTAAATTTGGATTAAACTAATCTTACCTGTTTTCCCGCCATTAGATGGTTCTCACAGACTTCTCCAAATATTTTGTCTTTTGTAGCACATCCCCGTCCTGTAAATATAAATATTTAACATCCCCGTCCTGTAAATATAAATATTTAACATCCCCGTCCTTTAAATATAAATATTTAACATCCCCGTCCTGTAAATATAAATATTTAACATCCCCGTCCTGTAAATATAAATATTTAACATCCCCGTCCTGTAAATATAAATATTTAACATCCCCGTCCTTTATATATAAATATTTAACATTTACGTCCTTTAAATATAAATATTTAACATTTAACATATTTAAGAACTAAAAACTCATTGATTAGTAATAAACATAATAAAATGTATGAAGGTATTCCTAATGTACTAGTGCACTTCACTGTAAAGAAAATAATTTAAGAGTAATTTAAGACTAACCAGAGTGAGCAGCATTCGGTTTCTTCTATTTGAAATTAAACGTGTTTTGGTCTTTAATTCAATAATCATTTACTTTACTGATTTGTTTATTTTATACATTTTATTCAAAATGCATATGCCAACAAAAAAGTACTTAAAAACGGCTAACAAATTATGTTTAATGGGTCAAATTGTGATCGAAAGTTACAGCTTTCTGGAATATTAACAGGACCGTTAAATCCACGTGGGGTAAATAAAAATAAACAGTTTGAAGATACAAAAACTGAATATCTTATTCATACTTGATCAGACAAATCAATTAAGGGTAACATAAAAATATAGCATTGCCATCTTTGCATAGAGTTTAGGGTCACTTGAAATTACGCTTGCAGTCCCT